ATCCTTCTGGAGAGCTGCAGCACTGGCACCTGCACAGGGACAGCTGCTCACTGTGGAAGTGATGCCTCCATCAAGATGGGAGCCAGGAGATGGATTTCTGTCTAAGGGAGCCCTGCCAGAAGCAAGTGTGTGCATGGGACCCTGCAGAAGGCTGATGCAACTGAAGATGGCTCACAGGTCAAGTTCACCAAGTAGAAGAGAAAATCCAGTACTGCGAGGGACAATGATAATCATCCCACCAACCACTTTCCAGGTGCTAGGGACTGTTTGGGGGCTTTCAGCATATGAATCCTCACAGCAAACTCATAAGGTAGGTATTGTGATCAAAACCTCCCCTTAATAGATGAGGAAACAGGCACAGAGAGGTTGAGGAACTGGCTCACAGTCACACAACTAGCAAATAGCAGAGGTGGGACTCAAATCCAACTGGTTTGGCCCCAGAGCCTGTGCTAAACTACAGACAATGAACGGAGCAGACTACACCTGAGGAAGGATGGGTCTCAGAATAATCTGAAAGGGACTGGAAATACAGGTCTTTATAACATATTCAAAAATTAATTCAACATAAATCAAAGACCTAAACCAAAGAGCTACATCTATACAATTCTTAGAAGAAAACCTAGGGGAAAAGTTTCATGACATTGGATTTGGCAATGATTTCTTAGATATGACATCAAAAGCACACAGACAAGAAAAGAAAAAATAGACAAATTGGGACTTCATCAAAATTAAAAACTTTTGTGAATTGAAGGACACTATGAACAGAGTGAAAAGACAACCCACAGGATGGGAGAAAATATTTGCAAATTGCATGTCTGATAAGGGATTAATATCCAGAATATATCAAGAACGCCTCAAATTCAACATTCAAACATAGGCAAAGGACTTGAGTAGACATCTCCTTAAAGAAGAACTATGAATGACTCATAAGCACGTGAAAAGATGCTCGACATCACTAACCATTAGGCAAATGCAAATCAAAACCACAGTGAGATACTACTTCACACCCACAAGGATGGCTATTATCCAAAAAACAGAAAACAAATGTTGGTCAACTTGTGGAGAAATTGGAACCCTGTGCATTGCTGGTAGGAATGTAAAACGGTGCAGCCACTGTGGGAAAGAGTTTGGTGACTTCTCAAAGAACTAAACATAGCATTACCATACGATCCAGCAATTTCACGTCTGGGTATATGCACAGAAGCACTGAAAGCAGATACTCAACAGATAGTTGTAAATCCATGTTCATAGCAGCATCATTGACAATTGCCAAAAGGTGGAAACCCAAATGTTCACTGAGGGATGAGTGGATAAACAAAATGTTGTATATACAAACATTCAAATATCACTCAGCCTTAAAAGGAAGGAAATTCTTAAAAGGAAGGAAAGCTATTGCATGGATGAGCCTTTAAAACATTATGTTAAGTGAAATAAGCCAGACACAAAAGGACAAATACTGTATGATTCCACTTACATGAGATTCCTAGAGTAGTCAAATTCATAGAGACAGAAAGTAGAATGGTGGTTACCAGGGTCTGGGGAGAGGAGAATGGGGAATTAGTATCCCACATGTATGGAGTTTCATTTTGGGAAGATGAAAAATTTCTGGAGACGGATGGTGGTGATGGTTGCAAACAATATGAATACACTTAATGCCACTGAATTGTACACTTAAATAATGGTTAAAATGGTAAATTTTAAGTTAGTGTATTTTACCACAATTAAAAAAAATAAACAAAAAACAGATTTTTAAAGAGATTGAATCCCCAACCAGCCCAGTGACGACCACCAAGCCACCACTGGAAGTGCCCTGGGCTCTTGAACTGGGGCGGTGGGGGGCCAAGGGCTTCAGCCACACACCCCTGACGTCTGCATCCAGCCCAGCAACTACTGAGCTGCTGCTGGAAGCCCCTTGGTCTCCTGCCAAAATGAGGGGGGTGCCACGGGCCTCAATCATGCCCTTCCCCCTTCCTCCTTCCTCCTCCTCCCACTCTCTCTCCCTCCCCCTTTTCCTTTCCCCCTCCCCCAACTGCTCCACAATAACATCTTAGAATGTAAAAAATAATAATATTAATAAATTTTTAAAAATAATAAAGTGATTAAGAAACAGAATCTGTGAAGCAAACAAAGGCTTTTGTGAAAACACAGGGGATTTAAAACAAACATATGCTAAAATGAAGAATATATTGGGCCAAGCCCGTGGCGCACTTGGGAGAGTGCGGCGCTGGGAGCACAGCAGCGCTCCCGCCGTGAGTTTGGATCCTATATAGGGATGACCGGTGCGCTCACAGCGCTCAATGGCTGAGTGCAGTGCGGCCGGTCTCAAAAAGGACAAAATAAATAAATAAATAAAATAAAATAAAATGAAGAATATAGATATTAAATTGGAGCAACACAAACCTCGATGGATGGGTGAAGCAGCAGCCTAAGAAGCAGAAGAATTGGGACCTGAGAGACACAGCTGGGAAAGTCATGGAGCACAGGACAGAATGAGGAGACGTGGAGGACAAGGCAGAAAGTTTCAAGCTGGGCCTACTAAGAACCCCTGAAGGAGACATGGGAGAGAGCAAGCAAGACCATGTTCACTGAGATGACAGCTGTTTCTAGAACCAAAGCAAGCTTCAGGCCCCCAAAGTAGACAAGCTTCTTTAGTGAGCTCCCAGTAGGAAGACAGTCGGCGGTACAGGGAGGTGTCCTTGGGGGAGTTACTGGAAGGCAGGTGGGAGACAGTTTTCAGTCCAGCTCTGTCACTCAGCTGCTCTGGCCCTCTTTCTACATCTCGCAGGTGACTGGTGGATCTCGACTTGACCTTCCAGCTGTCTATTCTGCGACTTTGGCGGGGCGGGGGGTGTTTGAAGCGTGAGACAGATATGAAGGCACCTTTCTCAGGGGAGGAAGCATCCATTATAAAGAGAGGAAACGACATACTAGGGCTTTCTTCATTATCTCACTTAATCTTCACAGCAGTCATGCGAGGGTTTATAAGAACCATTTTATAGGTGTGAAAATGGAGACAGAACATTGAAGTAAATTGCTCAAGGTCACCTAGATGGTAAGTGCAGAGATGGGATTGCTGTCAGGCCTGATCCAAAGCTGCTTGATTCACTCATGTTAAAGTCAGGGACTGGTGTGGTGGGTGGAAGGGGGGTGGGGGATTGGGAGTGCTGTGGGGAGATCTGAGAAGCTGTCCAGCAACCACACCACCCTTGACCAGCATAGGTAAGAACTGGTCACCCAAGAGCGGCGTCAACAGGTGCAGCACGGGCAGAGCTCAGCAGTCGGGGCCACTGGTAGAAGGCGCTGGGCTGGCCCCTCTTCCTGCTTGTCTTCCTCAGCAAACTTCTGGGTAGACCCGGCCACGCCCCACTCACCTACAAGGTGGAAACAGGAGTCTGAACTACTGCATTATCTCAAACATTCTAGTAGCTGAGGCCGGTCAGTCCAACTGCAATGTTAAGTTTCTCTACCCTCAGTCTGCAGCTCAGTCCATGGGGTGTTGAGTGCTGGTGACCTCACACTGCCCACAAGCTCCGATGGGTGGTACGAACCTCTGCAGTTCACAAAAGCAGGAAAGGGGGTTATGTGACAATGACCTTTGTTTGGCACACAAAGAGCTTTTGAAACATAGGCTGGGTCAGGGGGGTAATTAAAGAAGTTTTTGGTGGAAGATGGTTTGGAACTATTTAGGGGATGTGTTTATAAATTCCATTGTTCTAAGTAATTGTAAACTTCCAACCTCTTGCTTACCCAAAATACAAATCAACCTCACATCCTGCCCCATGGAAAGGCCTGCACAGCCAAGCCTGTGTGAGACATGCATACACACACAATCGCACAGAGACACACACATACACAAACACACGCATGCACACACATGCACTGCAGCTGGAGACGGAGGGGCAAAAACTGCAGATGAAGGATTTTGGGGGGACAGATATGGGGGGATGGATTGAGCTGGGGTCAAGGTATCAGCAAAGCCTGGAAGAGGTTCAGGGCCAAAGGTCCTGACAGAGGGGCCAGGCTGGCAGTGCAGTCGCTGGCCTCAGAAGACTGACCAACTTCTCTTTGGCCAGGTCCTAGGTTTGGTGTTTAAATATCTGAAAAAAAGATCTAGTCATGTTAGCTGAAAAAAAAGATACACAACTGTAAATACAACGTGATCCCACCTAAAATATGTGCTGAGAGAAAAAAGCTGGAAAGACACTGCAAAATGTCAACAGTGCTTATCTCTTGTTGATAAAAAGGGCTTTTATTTTTATAGTTTTCTGTATTTTCCAAATTTCTGGCATAAACACATACATAAAAGTTATAAAAATGTCCCTCAAAATGGCACTCCCCAAACCCACTCCAGCCTTCTAAGGGGAGGCTCAGGGTGAGGGGTGCGCTGGGAAGACGGGCAGGCTGGCCTCTGTCACTCTCTGTGTGGGCATCAGCTGCTGCCAGGCTCCAGCATTTAGGTCCCCTTTCCACTGGGCAGTGCCTGAGTGGCTCTGTCTGGGGACTACACCTGCCGACTCACGCCAAGTGGACGTGGAGCTGGAGCAGGCAGGAGTCGAAGGGGACCCCTGGGCCAGTTCTGCACCCTCAGTGAGCCAGGCCCATCCAGGGTACCCTCCCCTAGATAGCCAAGGTTAGCTGGGAGCCTTCCTGCTGGGGACTCGGCCATTTATGGGAACAGCTCAGGCAGACAGCCAGCGTCGGGGCAGGCCTGGGGTGGGGCAGGGCCCCTGCAGCACGTGGTCATGTGAGGCCAGCAGCCAGGATGTCTGCTCCCCCTTTGCTTCCCAGGGTCCTTTCGGGTCAGTGCCCAGCAGGGACAGGGGCTGCCTGGGTTACGTGGTACCAGGGCCAGAGCTCTGAAATTCAAGGCTGTTCTTGGAGGATGATGGAGGAAGAAACCTAGTAAAGGGACTTTCTTGACTTTCAGGAGGCAGGACAGCAGCCTGTCCCTGTCCCTGTCTCTATCCCTAGCTTCCCCGACAGGGATGCAGACTCAGATGGTGAGGGCAGGACCTTTTATTGTGTTCACAGGGAGACTGGGGGTTGGGGGGGCTCAGCGTAGGCATTGGGTGCCTCGAGAACGGGGGACAGGACCAGGGTGGCTGGTGGTCTGGAGGACGGAGGAGGGCCACCGCCCCATGGCCCCATTCCAGTCTCTCTGCAGAAGCTCCTTGGTCCGGTCACCTCAGGAGTGTCTCAGCTCCACCTCGGAGCCAAACTGAGGCCCACGGTGAGGCTGGTGGAGGCTGTGGTGGCGGATACTGAAGAGCCGCTGGGTGAGGCCCAAGGTGGCCACCAGCAGGGCGACACCCAGGAAAAGCAGCACCCACTGACCCACACGGGCCTGCTGTGCCTCCAGGTTCAGGCCCAGGAAGTTGACGCGGCTGGTGTCTGAGAAGGAACCCTCCGAGGAAGCTGGGTGGGAAGCAAGGAGACAGGGTGGTGGGCAGGACGGCGGCGGGCTGGGGTCGTGTGGCTGGCGTCCCTGTCCTTGCTCTGAGGTCAGACTTAAGCCTGCCTGCACTGAGGAGGGGGCTCAGCCCTGCACGAGCTCTGGGGGCCGGGGCTGAAGGGAGCATGGGTGGGGGTACCGGAGTATGGCGTCCAGTTGTACTGCGGCCAGCCCAGCTTCTCCCCGTGCCGCCCATTCTCGGTGAGGAGCCAGTCCAGCAGCGGCTTGAAGTAGTTCATTATGGCCAAGGCAGACATGTTGGGCTGGCCCGTGATCAGCTGCATGGCCTCTGGCCACGGCTTACTGAAGCCCAGCTTCATGGCCTCCCTGGGGGAGACACCAGAGAAAGGGAAACTGAGTCAGCAGGACTCGGCCCCTCTTGCCCCAGCCCAATAACCACCCTCCACACCCCTCTCCCAGCCTAAACTTCCCTTTGAGATTGGGAGTGCCTGGGCAGGTCTGGGGCAGGGGTGGGCTAGGGAGGCCCCCAGTTCTTCCAGGAGAAGGCACATCACGTGGGCACAGACTCCTGCTGGCAGTTCCCTGCTCAGGAGCCAAATGGCAGGTGTTCCCAGAAGAGCCCCAGTGGGCACCTCAAGGCTGAGGGGAGCAGGCCAGAGCGTGGCAACTGTCAAGGGATGGCCCATGGTGACTCACGCCAGGCGCTTCCCAGCCTCCTTGGACTGGTAGATGTCACACTTGTGCAGGGGGCCCTCGTGGCCAGCTGCCTGGCACAACGCCTCATGGAACTGGAACTGGATGATGAAGCTGACAAAGTACCTGGGGTGGAGGGAAGGTGGGGGGTGAGGTTGGCTGGGGGGCTTGTGCCACTGACAGTCACACAGGGCACAGCAGAGCCGAGCCCCTCCCCCCCCCCACCGCAGTTGGGATGTCAGGGTGAGGCCACCCCTGCCTCCAGAGCTGTCCCAGCCCTTCCTTGCTGCGTCTATGCAGATGCCTCCCACCCACAGGTTGCTTCCACATCTTGGTGAGGAGGGCGTGGGCAGGGCCCCTCCAAGCTTTGGCGGATGCTTTTGAAGCAGTGAGCTTTCCATCTCTGGGTATATGCAAGGGTAGCCTAGGTGACCCCAATGGGTTCCATGGATCTGGTAGGGAAGCCTGGGCAGGGAAGCCAGCCCAGATGGTCTCCTTATCTGAAGCAGAAGGAATTCCCTGGTAGAATCTGCCCGTGAAGGCTGGAGCCGCCTCTCCAAGTCTGGAGAGGTTTTAAATGTTCCCAGCCAGCAGTGCAGGCCTCTCACTTTCAATGCTGGGCATGAACCATGTGCCACTTACTTCCCTGGCACTTCTTAAAAGTACTTTGAGGCTGTTGGCCAGATTGTTGACTGTGGTTCTAGAGCAGCCATGTCTCCTTTGCCCGCCCCTGCCCGGGGGATTGTCTGCACTGAGCTCGGAAGTTAACCATCACAGGACCCAGCTTCTGGGTGAGAGTCGACACCAGCCTGGAGCCCCAGAAACCACTCCAGTAGGCGGGTGGACGCTCCTCCCTGAGGGTCATCTCGAACGACCCTGGTCCTCTGACCACTGCTGCTCTCTGGAGCATCTGAGCAGGCGTTCCCTCCCTTCCTGGACTCCAGGGAACAGACTTCATTTATCCCACAGTTAGTCATTAGGGCTTGACTACATGCTGGCATCATTCCAGGTGCTGGGACAGGAAGGTGGGCCCAGTGGGCAGAAGCTGTGCCTTTGCTGGGCTTCCAGGGACCACAGGAGGGGGCAAGAGCTAGAAGTGGTCATGGCCCTCGTGGGGCAGCCTCACTGCTCTCTGCATGTTGACTCCCAGGTGGCCTGGGATACCTGTGGCCCAGGGGCACCTCCAACTATGCCCTGAGGTCTCCCCAGCCCCCAACCTCCCAGGAGGGTTCCAGATCCTACAGCCACCCTTCCTATCTCCCAGCAAGTGCCCCCCGTCGCACACGGTAGGAAGGGGGCCACACTGGGCACATTCACATGGTGGCTGCGGACCTTGTGTGCTAACACATCCCACTTAGGAGAGCATTCAGTAACGTGGGATTATGGCCACCACTTCCTGAGCATGCTGTGTATTAGGCAGCACGCTAACAAGTTAGCCCCCGAGACCACCCTGGATTCACAGGTGAGAAAACGGATGCTCACAGAGACTGAGGGATTTGCTCGAGGACACAGAGTCGTGGAGATGAGCTTTGAACCCTGTTCTGTCTGACCCCAAGACTGTGACTGTAACCACACCCCTAATAACGCTGCCCCTCAGTTTAACTGGGTCGCTAACCCTGAGTTCTAGTGCATGGTAGGGGCTTTCAAGTACAACTCACATTGTATCACAGGCAGTGTGTTCAACAGAGGTAAAGGAACCGCATCTTGTTTCAAAAACAAAATGAAACAAAACGGCAGTGCTCAGGTCATCATCTAGCCATGTGTCATGATTAGTGTTAACTACCCAACTAAGGTCCTGTAACCACTAGCCAATTATTAGGTTGAGATTCTGCTGTCAACTGTTTGGATGGTAGAGACTCTCATCTGATCAAAAGAACATTTAAAGAAACAACTGTCAGCCTTGGTGGCAGTCAGTGAGCCCAGGCACAGCGCATTGTGTGCTGACTCCCCCAGGTCTGTCCTGACCAGGTAGCTCCCGGACAGGGCAGCGACAGCAGTGTAAACACCCAGCCACAGGACTGCCCTGCATGGCACCCCTCCTCCCTTTCCCCTGTTACCTGATATAAGGCACACTTGAAGGAATGTGAAACTTGGCCCCTGGGTCAAAGTCGCCTTGAGACCTCGGCACTGGGGGGCAGAGACCTTGGTACTTCAGCCTGTGAAGGGGGAAGATATGTTGGGGGGCAAGTTTGGGGAGAACAAAGCCGGGGGATGGGTGGCATTTTTTACTTGAAGGTTGGTCCTTGCACCTGGGGCTATACTAGGCGTCCCATCCTTGTGTATGCTGTACCTCTGTGCACAATCTCCCCCGTGTACGTCATCGCTACACACACAGACACAGGCACTTGCACACACATGCATCATATACATGGACACAGGGACCTACACCTACACACATGTAGAGGGTTAGAAATCTTGATTCCTATTTGATTATTAAATAGGGTTTTTAGGTAATGCACGTATGGGGCAAAAGTCCTCAGACAGGAGGCAGGAGCCTATAGCCAGGGGCAAGAGCCCACCGAATCAATTCTAATCACCGTTTAGGTAGGGGATTGTATATATTGATTGTTAATGCAATGGGTTCATTGGAAGATTTTGTGAGAAGGAAACTTAGTCTAAAGCCTTTAATGTGAACAAGAGAACTGAAGCAAAACAGGGATTGTTCTGAGGGCAACAACCCTTAATACAACAAAGCTTAAATGATGGCAAAATATGTGAGTTAAGATTTCCAAGGACCTTCTGCTAGATTAGTTTGTACATGGGGGCTGTTCCACATTTTGCTTTAAGCTGTTTCTTTGCGTTTCTCAAGAAGTCAGGCACTTTCATGATTATCTTATTGTTTCTTTTGCATGTCACATAGCTTAGATTTGTGACTCTTTTTGATGGCATATTGTTTAAACTATTTTGAACCATGCATGCTTGGATGATGATTGTTACATAGTCAATTTCTTTATG